ATTTTTTAAATCCACCATTTGCGTAAACTATTCTTAGCTATGAGTTTACTCTTTTCCTGGGCGTATTTTTATATTACTTTGAAATTTGCAACGCTTAGTCTCAGGCCCCAAAGAGTGTATATTCTTGATCAGCATCACTCGCCGCTCGATATGGCTCAGTATGTTTCTTCAATTTTGAAGCTGTCTGATAGAAATTGCATTATGCCTATATCACTATCGGTTCTAATCAATCATTCTTATAGCTGTCTTGGAAACGAAGGTTTAAGTTTTGTTTACCAAGATATCGCCAATCGAAAAATTAGAGTTATTTGTGTTATTATTCTGCTATTATTTGAACAAACAATCAAACAAATTCAGCTGTCAGCAATTCGCTTTCGCTCTGGAAGCGTATTTCAACTGCGGTTTGCCTAAAAGTCCCCGTTTTCTTTTACTTTATTCATATTTTGCCTGCTCGCATATTCATGAATTTTGTGTTGTTCGCTCATTCATCTTCCCAAACAAGTTTCCAATATTTTTTGGACTTTGTGTCGTTGCTCATTTGCAGTAAAAAAGGAGTGTCCTGGTTATTGCCTCAGCGCGCCCTTTGGGCAGCCAGCAAATTGTATTGATTTTGACTTGGGCATCAATTTTATGTGCACCCAGCTTAGTCCTTGTTTCGATCGTGCTCCTTTTTGCTCAGCTTTGCCTCGGTTTGCTGTGGCTGTGCTTTTTACTGCAGCTTGTTAAATGCTCAGAATGTTTGTTTTGCTTCTCAAGTAGTCCAGCTCTGCTGTTGTTCTTGTTGCCAACAATTTTCGTGCAAGTGCTTTATGAAATTGTGTACAAAGTGAATGAATTCAGTAATTTACTTTATTCTTTTGCTTTATTTTTCAAGTGCGCTTTAAGCAGCTGCTGCTTAAAGTATTTGCTGACTGTCTTATTGACTCCGAGATGGCATCGTGCTGAAAATCAAGAACTCAATCAACAAAATATCAAAAAAGTTAAGAAGTTTGACAGTAAATATCAATTTTACCTCTAGTATTTTATCCATGTGTATTTAAATTCCCTATCTATAGATAAAAAATAGTTTTTTATGAAGATTTTCACCAAGTTTCGTGCCTCACGCACGACAAAAATCACGACATGAGCGCATCTCTAAGAAATAACAAGCTTTTTTCCGAAAATCCTTGAATAAAAATGAAAAATGCGATTTTAATTGGTTTTCCATATAACGTTACAGATTCTTTATTTAGTTCTTGTTGTTTTTTTGTTGTTTGTTTTATTTTGTTTTTCACTTTTCTTTTTTTTGCATTTTGTTGCTTTTATAATAATTTCCGTTTAATATAATTGCAGTTGTTGTTGTCTGTATAAATGTGTGTGTAAAAGTGTATGTGTAGGTGTGTGTGTGTCTGTGTGGATGCGTCTGTGTTTGTATATGTGTTGTGTTTGTGTGTCTGTGTGTGTCTGTGTATAATTTGCCTTAAATTAAGATTTCTCATGCTGCTTACACAATTTTCCCACAATTTCTCATCATTTGCATGTAGTTTTTTGCACAGTGTAAATTGTGTAGAGAATTCGCATTGCATTTTTCGTCGCACTTGTAATTTTAATTCTTTAGTTTTCGCTTTGCAGTTTAGTACTTTTAATATTACTCGTAATTTATTCATAATTTTTGTTTGTTTTTAATACTAGTCGCCATTTTGTTATTTTTCCTTTTTTTATATATTAATTTTAATTTTTGTTTTGTTTACTTTTACTGTATATTTAAGTGATTTTACATAATAATGTACTTATATGCAAATTTATCTAAAACTGCATTGGAAATCGGCTTTTTGGTTTTCTGGTTTTTTCTTCTCGTTTTTCCATTTCATTTGACTCAATTGTGAATGCCTTCTATCATTTTCTATAGAGTTGTTTGTATTTGTATTTTTGTTGTTTTTGTTGTTGTTGTTGGTAAAAAATGCATACATTATAAATACATAGTTATCAAATAGTATGATGCCTCGCAATGTTTGTGTGTTTGTTTTTTATTTTTTGGTTTATATGAAAGTGTGCTATATAGATTTATATGTTTGTATGTGTTCTGTTCTGCTTGTTATGTATGTTTATGTATATGTTCTCGTATATGCCTCTAACTTACGTTACAAAATATATAACAAATATATGTGTGTCTGTGTATGTGTTGTGTCTGTGTGTGTGTGTGTGTAAATGATTATTTAATGTATTTGTCCCATTCTAATAAACTTTCTCTCTTGCTGTGCTGCTGTTACAAAATATCGTAAGATCTGGCAACTATTTCCCATTGTTAGAATGTGCTTTAAGCAGGGTGTCAAACGGAATCGCATTTAGATTCGGTTTCCGGTTGCGGTAAAGTTTATTAATCGATCAATAACCAATAATATGGGCTTCTCTGACTAGTTCCGATTTCAGTTCTGCATTTCAATCGGTAAAGTTGCGTTTCCGCTTCCGGTTTGACACTCTGCCTTTAAGTAATTTATACGCCTATAGATAAATGCAAATTTATATAGTTATGGAATTTTAAATAAAAGTATGCCGAAAAGAAGCAAACTGCAATTTTACTAAAATCCCAAAATCAAGATTCGTTGAATTTGAAGTCTTGAAATAATATATATCTGTGTATATTATTAAATTGGCAGTGTTTAACGTGTTTTTGTTTTTGTTGTTGCTGTACCGTTTGTTCAAAAGCATTAAACATGAAGTGTATGCAAAATATATATAAAAACCATCGCATCAATATAAAAATTGTGTTGTTTTCCGCTTCTATGTCGTGGCTACTTTATATTGAATTTCGTTTATATATGTAATTTTAACAGTAATGTGCTTTAAAATTGTTTAAATTTGAAACAAGTACAGCAAAGTTTGCATATTTTACTTTTATACTTTTTACGTTTTTTTTATTATTTATTTTTCAATATTCGGTTCGCTGTATGGTTTAACAATTACGTTAAAATCTTTGCACTTTTCAATAGTCAACTCTTGTTGTAGTTTTTTTTTCTGTATGTATTTTTTTTTTAATGATTTTTGTTTTTGATTTTTGGGAAGAAAAATTAGAATAATCAACTGTTGTTTTAGCTTTAGGAATTTGGGCAGTTTTGTTGCCTGGAAAACTGTGTGATTTATGCATGCGAACTAGATTTGTTGCAGTGTATTTCCTTATGTACTTACTTGGCTGACTCGTCTGAACTCAAAACACATAAATTCAACAAAGTAATCACCTAACTGGCTTCCCAATTCGATTTTCTTCTCTATGTATATATGTAACTACTATTGTGGTGTTTGTTTCGTATATATAATATAATATATACGTTGCATGCAACAAATGAAACAATAAACGTTTTGGAGTATGTATTATTATTTTTAAATTGCACTCATAACTGTGGCTCAACTTGTGGCAAAAGTTGCGGATTTCCTCTTACCTAAGACTATGTGGGTCAAATTTTTGCTGCCTGCAAAAACAAACTCAAAATTAAAGCGGCCCCAAAAACAAAACACATTTTTTAACGCTCTCGTGTGGAAAAGTTTAGTTTTAAATGCAGTTGGTTTGTTGTTGTTTTGTACGAGTAGTATACATATATATATATATATGTATATATATATATATTTATATGAAGAGTGTATTGTTTGGTTAATTTAACTTTCTCTTCAGATGCCGTTTTCCATTTGCATTTGCATTTGCATTTGCTGTTGCTGTTTCTAGTTGAAATGACTTAATAAGACTTTTAGGTTCTGCTACCAATTTCGTATGCTTTAATTACTTGTTGCTTAACGTGCTAAAAACTAATAATATATACAATGTAAAATACTTTTTCCATTTCTTTTTCTCCTCATATATAATGGCATTTCTCTCGTATGTTTTCCTCTCTTTAAGTATTTCCATTTTTAATTATATCAATTGCGCTAAGTTCATCTAAAGGTAATTTTTTCGTTTTTTTTTTCCACTTTTAATCGTCATCAGCTGCTGCCAGACACATTTTGTTTTTCTTCTTCAACTACGTTTTTTTTTCTTCTTTTAGCTTAAGTTTTTGTTTTAGAATATCATTTTAGGAGTATTTTTCTTCTTCGTGTTCTTAACTGCTTGTGGAAAGAAACGGGTTTTAGCCTTAACTGTTTGAGTTGGAGCGTTTTATTATTTTGTTTTGTTTATTTTTTGTTTTTGTGTATTTCTAGTTTTTAAATTTACTCGTAGTGATACACAAATGTGGCGACACACGTAACGCCCTTGTAATGCCAGTTAAAAATTGTTGTAGACTTCTTTTTTTTTTATATATGTGTATATTTTTTATGTGTTTTTGTTTTTTTTTTTTTTTTTCTCATGTATATATATGTACTTGTTATGATGGAACGAAAACAGTCTTTGGGTATTCATTTATATAAATTTTAATTATGTTTTTTTCTTTTTCTTTTTGTATTTTCTCGTTTCTTTTAATTTTAAATCTTAGAAAGTAATTCGAAATCGAAACAATATAATACTCGTTTAAGTAAATTTAAATGTACTAATTAAATTAAAAATATAATCAACTAAACGTACTTTGCTGGGCCCCAAGCGCTAAATGACTCCGCTCGATAGCCAAAAATGATAGATGTGTGTACTTAAAATAATAATTACAAAAATATCGCAAAAACCTAAAAGTAATATGCACAACATATATAAATATATATAAATTTATTTCCCTCTCACAAAATAATATGTCAATTAATTGGAAATTCATTTGCTCTCGCCTAAACTAAACTTTGGTATGCTCTCGCTCCCATTTCTCCCATCCTGCTGAACTTCCTCTGTCTCTGTCTCTGTCTCTGTCTCGATCTCATCATCATCATCAAAAATTCGCAACGCATTTTCGATATTTGCGTTTTCTGTCATTCCCACTACACACTTAATAAATTAGTTATAATAATTGTTAAATTTAAATGCTGATGAAGTATTTTTTACAAATGTCATTTTACGTGTCATATGTGTTGTTTTTTTTGTTTTTCTGTTTTGTTTTTTTTTTTTTTTTTGTATTGTTTTAGAGTTTTCGCTTTTTTGTTTTGTTTTAACTTAATGTTGCTTTTGCCATGCTTCTTTGGTTGCGCTTCTTTGTGTCTGAGTCAGCTGTGGGTATCAACGATGCCTACGATTTATCCTAACCTCATCTCTCGTTTAGTACTTTCTTTAAATGCAACTTTTGTGGCCACTTAACTGCGCTTTCCTCATAATCGTCTCTCATTTGGTTGGACTTGGCTGGAAACTTACAATTCGAGCTCGGTATTATGCGGATTGGGCGCCTCAGGGCCATACATGTTGGCCAGCTTATCGAATCGGGGCCCCCAGGCGCCGAGGTAGTCATACTCCTGCTGCTCATCATCGGTGCCTGCAATCAGCAAAAAGTATTCAAAACGTTGGTGTTAATTTGCAAGTGTTAAAAGTTGTCTGTATACAAATTAAAAATATTTATTTGTGTTGAAAATAAGTTTGTTTAAAAGTATATAATAAGAGGAAGGAATCTCTTCTGATCCATTAAGCATATTAATTCAGATGTTAATCTCCTAGTTCAGCTCTCACGACTAAAGCCATTTTATTTATTTCGTTAATGGATTTTTGCATTTTTCTGCACTTAGTTTTCTAAGTCTATTTTTGATTAGGATTTACTTAAATTTACACCCAATATTCGGCGGTTTTTGAGCGCTGTTGCCCTGTAAATAATTGCAAAAAAAAAAAAAACAATTTAAAAATCAATTCAAATGTTTTTCTCTTTTTTTTCACTAGTTGATAGCCTACTTTTTGGGGCAAGGAGCAGCTATTGATTCAGCTAGTACTTCATTTGTGTAGAAACTGCCGCAATATTGGGTGCAAAATCTAGTTGTCATGGTGAGTTTAATAATGCTAATGGAAGACAAATGCATGATTGTATCCATTAAGGGGAGACCCACCTGAGGCCAACGAGCTGAGCGAACCGGCCGTGCTGCCGCCGCCTTCATACGCGTAATTGCGCAAATCATCGAAGGGGGGCGCATTCGGATCGCCATCGGCCCGCTTTTTATGCTCCTCGATGAACATGCCCACGTTTGGCTCCTGGCCGGGCATTAGCTGCATCACCGGATCTGCGCAAGAAAAAGTACAAAAATGGTGCATGTTTTACAATAGTTGTATACGCAAATCACCAAACCACTCACAGAATGCAAGGAGAAACACACATTACAGCTGAAATACTTACACATTATTGGCATCTTCATGGGAGCCAGTTCTGGTGGCATTGGTCCACCAATCGGTATCTGCAGTGGTGTTATATCGAAAGCAGTCATATCATCCTCGCCGCCGCCCTCATCGTCATAGTTGATAATATTCTCGCGAACATCGTCATCGGGTCCCGGGTATTTGATATGCGCCTCGCGGCGTCGATTGTAGACCACAAAGACCAGAACGAGTACTGTGAGTAGTCGTAGAATACAGTTGGTTTAATAAGTTGTCGTGCTCAGTTCCACTCAATATCAATCATATGCAACAACAATTGTGGCAAGTTACTACAAATGCAATAACTCATAGCAAAGGACAAATAAACTTTAGCATGCAAAATGACATTTAAATGGTGAATTTAACTAAAGCAATGGCAAAAAAGGATTCTTAATTAAATTCTGGCAAAAAGCACCAAATTGTAGAAAAATGGAATTGCATAAAAAATTCACATGCAAAAAGTTTTTGAAAACGAGAACAAATATAAAAAGGAAAAAGAGTAAAAAATTGAATAAATATAAAGTATGCAGAAGCTTGAATACTCTTGATCCTGTGGCAAGATTAGCAGCTGATGTCAGTCAATTCTCAAAAATAAAGTATTTAGTTAATTTTAGAAAATTAAAGTATTAATTTAAAAATAGATTTTATAAAAGATAATTAATATTTATATATTATAATAAATAAATAAGCAATGCCTAGTTCTATAAAGCTAGACAAAGGAATATGATCAACAAATTTATTATTGCAATCAATTTATGTTTTTGCTTTTCCAAATTTTGCATTCTTTGCATCAAATGCTGAACTTATTCACAATTTATTATTATTATTTGCAACATTTATTTATGCTTTTCATTAAAGATGCGGTTAACCCAATATATTTTAAACTACTGCTAATTTTGGGAGTGTTTTCCCAGTGTTGCTTCCAGCAACCTGCTCATAATTAAAACCAAAGAAAATTACAGCTTTTGCTGTGCGTTACACAGTTGGTGACAATATTGCAATGCTCTCTTTGGGTAAGGGCACATAAATGTACAAACAAATACAGCGCATATTGTCTTCGCTTGCTCCCTCTCGCTCTTACTCTCTGTCTGCCTCTCTCTCTCTTTCTCTCTCCAGGTTTTGTGGCTGTAACTGTGACTGTCAAAATGGCAAAATCGAGCTGCAAGCAGCCAACAACATCAGCGGCCAACAACATCAGCGGCAGCAGCTGGCGACTTGGCGTCGCTTTGTCTTGGCCAACTTGTGTCGAGTTGTTTTCATTTTGTTTCGTTTCAGTTGCGTTCCATTTGTGTTTAGCTTGTGTTATTTTTGACTGCTGTTTCGCGTCGCTGTTTTCTAATTTGGTGTGGCGCGCATTTCCAACATATTGCAGCATCTGTTGCACAGCACAAACTTTTTTGTCAGCTTCTTCTTGTTGTTGTTGTTCTTTTTTTTTTTTTTTGGCCGCAAATAGCAGCCGTACAAGCTTAACCTCAAAGTAATTTTTAGCCAAGAGCCAGAGAGAGAGAGAGAGAGAGAGAGAGAGAGAGAGAAGGGGAAGTTGGCCAACAGAAATGAGAGAAAAACTTTTGCCCAAGCAGCTGGCAATGGCCAAAATGGACGTCGCATCGTAATTGCAATTATTGTCTTACTCAAACTGGCATTTATCTCGTTTCATTCCATACATGCATGCATAGTTTAATACAACATTCCGCCAAAAGAATTGGGTAAAAGAGGCGCAACAGAAACAGTGTCCATTTATCTGCATCCATTCATTCAATAAACTTTAATTTATGTGCATCGCTCGGCCGCATGTAATTTGCGGAAATAACTTTTGATGTTTTTCCCCCTTCGTCTCCTTTTGACGTTGCTGCTCCATCTGCATCTGCATCGGCATCTGCATCTGCCTCTTGGCTCAGTTGATGGCTCGATGGCTTGATGGCTTGATGGGCGTGGTCAATTGGAAAATGCATGGCTTAATTAATTTTCAGGCAAAAGGCGATTTCATAAATATTTAAATAATATATTTGAAATGCCAGCATTCTGTATAATCTCAACAGATGAATTGCCTATCGCAAGAGTTGCATAATAAATTGTTTACTTTTTGCTTGAATGCTTTCAACTAAAAGGTTTACAAATTGAGCACAGTTTGCGAAACCAACAAATATAATATTTTAAGCTCTTCAACATTTTACTTTAATCGGCTATTGAGCAAAGTCTTACACAAAATTAAAAGCTTTAATAAAATGTTCAACTATTAAATAACAATAAATGAGAAAGCATTCAGGAATATTTTGTGTAGTGAAATTAAAAGTTCTTACTTAAAGTGAGGCAATAATAAATCTGTGGATTTCTTATAAGCTTAATGAAGAGCAGAATTAAACTGTTAAACGGGAAAATGGGGAAAAACATACAATAATATTTGCTGTACTTACAGCTTACAGCTGATTAAATGTTTTCATGAATGATTCACAGCTTTGCCAGATTATTTTGTTAGACGAGTATTAAAGCCATGCAAAGTGTGTCAGTATTACTTACTTCAAAGACTTTGTTATATGTTATACTCAAGGATATTTGTTGGGTCAAACTACTTAACCTTGGGTTAGTCGCACTTCTCAGCACTGCTCCCTCGACTTTTATATAGATAGATGTATGTGTGTGTGTTTTGTGTGTACTTACGTATGAGTGTGCTGAGGCAGAGCACTAGGGCAATAATAAAATCACGTGATGGTGTCAACACCCCCGAGGCCAACAACTCCAGTTCGCAGTGCATGCCCGTGAATCCCAAGGGACATTGGCATTCATACTTCTTGGGCGGATGATGATCGCGACAACGGCCCCCATTGCGGCAGGGGAACAGGAGGCATTCGTTCTCGTTGACGCAACTGCTGCCGGAGACTTTGTAGCCAGCCGGACAACTGAGTGCGACAGAGCCCCAAAAACAGTTAATGTGTGTGTATGTGTGTGTGTGTGTGTGTGTGTTTATAAAAGAGTGTTGGAAAACAAAAAACAAAGAGATTATTGAAAAATATATTGTTGTACGTCATGCAAATGCGTTTGTTCAAGTGTGACAGAGAGAGAAGGAGTGTTGGAAAGTGTCCGTTTTTGTTTTATATTTATCAACTGTTCATTAAGTAGTTGATTTGAAATACTTTCAAATAAGTTATTTGAGGGTGTCTGAAATACTGCTTTTATTCTTCGCACAACTTTTGCTCTTGGTACTAGTTATGAGAATTAATATTTCCGCTTGCTTCTAAACACCTTTTGCAAGAAGTTTTAAGACAAGTTCGGTTTTTGGTTCGCTTGCTTTGTTTATTGTTGTTAGAGTTGTGGTTTTTTAATTTGGTTTATTTTTATTTTTTTGTGTTATTGTTTTGTGCTTTGGCGCGCTTCCATGCACAGTTTTTTTTTGTGAGTTTCCATTCTTAGTTTTTGCTAGGCAACATTTTGCTGTTGCTGTTGCTGTTGTGGCAAACTTTATGCATTTGCTTTGGACACAACATACACATCCCCCCCTAAAAAGTTAAGTGCACTTTTGTTTCTCACTTGCACTTCTTTGTGCGTGTTTTTTTTGTTGTTGTTTGGTTTGTTGTTTTTTGATTATGAGGCAATTGTTGCTGACAGAATTGAATAAAGTTTGGGTTTTGTGTCTGGTTCTTTTCCTTGGCATTTGGCACTTGTGTAAGTTTTCTTTTGATTAGTTTTGTGGCTTGAATTGGAATGGAAACCAGAAGCTAAATCAAGACAATACACAACTCTTACGGCACCCTTCTCTAATAATTGTGTGTGACTTTTATACATTTAAAATGGATTTTGAAAAGCTTTTTACAAAAATGCATTCACAAAAGGAAACTTTTCTTTTTTTTATATCTATTCCAATGATTTGGCAAAGAGAAGTAAACTTTTGTGCAACTTATAGTTTTGGTTTGCACTTCATTTTCCACTTCACTTCTGCTGCTTCACTTCTCGGTTGTGTGCAGTAATGCAAAAATAATGACACAAATGTTTTCCGATTGCTGCTGATGAATTTTGGCATCTTTGGAATGAAAACTGGCTGCGAAACTCGACTCGAGTGCTGCTGAACACTTTTCAAAAGCAGATATTGAGCATTTTTGATATATTGATGATTATTGGGCAAATAGCAGCGACTTCTTGACCAGCGAGCCAATAAATTCGCACACAAAAGCGCCGCACAGCGGGCAGTAGCAAAAGTATTAGCAGCAGCAGCATCAGCAGCAGCAGCAGCAGTAGAATTTAAGAAAGATGCCAAAAAGCAAAGCGAAACAAGGAATAAAAAAGGAAAAGCCAGCAGAAACTTTCACACTAAATCAGCGCCAGGCAAACAAGGAGTAAAGAAAAAGTTGCATAGTTTTTTGCGCAACGCCTTCCACTGATTGCTCCCTAGTGCGTAGTTTAAGCTGATCAAAAGTGGGCACTATATATATAGACATACATATATACACCGAACTATGTATGTACAGACATCTATATATATATACAGTTTCTTGGTGCGCTGTTTGCTGGAACTTTGCCATATTTTACGTCATTAAGTTTTACTTAAAGTTGGCATGAAACAATTTCTTTTTATACCCTGTACATATGAAGTGGGTATGGTGAATGGGTGCTAGTCTATGTAACAGGAAATACAAGGTATTCAAATTCATAAGTCTAATTGTTTCTCAATCTTTATTCTATATATATGTATATGTAGGATTATAGAACTATATTTTGATAATATCCCCGCTTGTTTCTAAAACTAAAACAATGAATTTAAAGAGTTTACGCAACTTTGTTCATTTTGCCCTAGCTCTGCAGCTCGGCATATCACTATCACTAAATATATTGCTTTGCTGATTACAGGGTATCTCTTGGGAATTTCTAGCACGCTAGTCTTGCACTTTTCAACTTGACTTTCTTTTTTTACTTGCTGCTCTGGTTCTTTGAACATTATTTACCTATAAAATGTTTGCCTTAAACTTGAATATATATATTATATTATTATATATATTCTACACCCACACACACGCACATGACTACTCGGCAAAATGCTCTTAGCTTGTATTTAAAAAAAAAAAATAAGCAGAAGCTGAAAACTCGCAAGTAGCCGCAGACGAAGTAGAAACAAAAAAAGTTCTATGAAAGTGTGCACGTGTGTGTGTGTGTGTATGTGTGTGTGTGTGTGTGTTTGAGTGTGTAGTTGTGTGAGTGTGTCTGCAAAATCCTCGCGGGGCTTCTCAGATGAAACTGGCAGCTCCTTTGAGCTCATGGTTATCCCGCCCTCGATGCCAGAGTCGCCGCACAATTGCTGTGGAACTAGGTATAAGTATTATATCTTGCTGCTAACTGTTTGCTCAAGTGGATTTAGTGCAACGTGATTTTTGTATTCGATGTCAAAGCTAAAATCAGCCAATGCTCTTTCAGTTGCCAGAGCCTGGCCTTAGCCCGTCCCCTTGGCTTGGCCAACTTGCCAGCTTTGACTGCACATTTATTATCTCTCCCATTACCTGAGCTCTTCTCTGTTCTTGGCTTCTTTAAGTGCAACTCAGATGAGTGTGTGAGTGTGTGTGTGTGTGAGTGTGGGAGTTGAGGGGCGTGACACTTAAAATTTACACATAAGATGTACACATATATATATCTGTCAGTAGTTGTTTGTCTGAAGTGATTTAGTTTTCGTGGAAAGCGGCACTTTAATTATACTCAACAGTTTTTTAGCTCGAGATATAATATCAAATGTATATTTAAAAAATATATTTTTTGTATATTGTTTTATATATATTTTTGTAATAAATCTCTTGGCATTGTTAAATATTTTACAACACCTTTCACGTATTTGTCTAAATATTTATTATGGAATTATGTGAATATTCGGAGCAAAAACAATTTAATAAATTTATTTACTTTTTGTAATTACAGAAAATGTTTGATTAAATGAGATGGAACTACGTGGAACATGGTTATATGTAAGTACATACCTTTCAGTTTGCAATTTGTTTCTAGGCAATCAATTTCATTATAAAATATTTAAAAACACACACACAATTTACATTGAAACAGTGAGAGAAACAATTGTGATTGGAATTGTATCAGGCAGAAACAGAAAAGGTGCCATAAACAAACAATGTAAAAAAGAGCAGTAAGTAAGTATTTTGACAGCGAACGATGTTGATGGAATGCAGATGGACATGAAATTGCTAAACTTTATGGATTTAATTCATGTTTGAACAAAACTAAAAAAACCAAGAAGTAAATATCTTGAAATAACAGTGACATGGCTGGCTAAATATCAAAAAAAATGTTTTTATTTTAATGAACAAATTTTGGGAATGCAGTCAGCTGTGATTCTTTCAACGAATATCGAATCGATGCATGTGTGACTGAATAATTGGATTTGTGCATTTCACATATGTACGACATATAAATATACAAATATAGATATATATATACATATATATATATATATATACATACATATATATAGATAAAATGAGTTTCGAGTTCGGTTTAAATTAAATGCAAAATATGGTTGAAAATACGTTGAATTTGTTGTAAATGAAAAGCCATGATGTATAATGAATGATATGTGATATGCGGATATATACGGATATGCGGATATGCGGATATATTGGTTATTGGCATGAATGAGCAGCTAGTAAAATTGCAGATTAAAAACGGTATAAATGGGTTACAAGTGGAATGCTAAATGCTAGTTAAAGGCATTCGCTAAAGCACTAGTTGCTTACTATATATATATATATATATTTATATATGTATATAAATTGAGGCTAGTTGTTGTTGCATATAGTTGTATAGATTGATATGGATATCTTTTGTTGTGGTTGCTTAGATTTTGATTGCTCACTCAGTATGATCAGCAGGCAAACGAGAATGGCCGCCAGGGCGCCCATGCTCAGCTTGAGGGTCTGACCCTCCTGCACCAGTTCACAGCTCTCGCCCCAGAAGCCGTCGGGGCAAATGCAGCGATAGCGGAGACGCGGCTCCAGATTGATGCATGTGGCACCATTCATGCAGGGCATATCGAGGCACTCGTTGCGATCCATGCAGCCCTTTGAATCGGGCGACATGATCCGTCCCTCGCCGCAACTATTGTTCGCATTTCGCATTCGATATCGAAATTGAAACAGTTTAATCAATTTAATTCGATGTTAGTTCTATTTAACGGGCTACTTAATAATTGTGATCGATGGAGCAACGGATAACCAAAAATATATATATAATTGATATAAATGCGCCAATGTTGTTGTGGTTAGTTGGTTAGTTCGAATGTAAGTCCAGCTGATTTTATAACCGATAACCGTTTAACCGATTGCTTTTAACCGTTTGGCAAGCGCCTTAGTAATTGGTATCAAGTTGTTGCCTACATATATTCCCCAAAAGAGACAGTAATCTGTTCCTTCAATTTTCAATTAATTCTTTTTAACTATTCATATTTACGTCAAGTGGTAATTTTACTACTCACACTTCAATGACAACAGAGACTCATAAATGAATAGCAAAGTGCAACGAGTTTAAATGTTATAAATGTCGGGCATAGTAATATCCGATTAGATTCCATTTGGGTATAGCTAGTTAGCCATATATCCGAACGCTATTAGCTGTTAGCATATTCAAAGAAAAGTGTTGTTATCGATTGCTGTTAACCGTTGAAAATGCAGAAAATGCAAGCTAACCAAGCACTTTTTGGGCCTATTATAAATTCATAAATGATTTTCCTTTAACCAATTGATGTTCATTGATTATTGTTAGCCGATTGGAAAATAGAAAACTGATGCCAACAACATTTCCACTGCTTGTTTAGCTCAGATTTAAGTAGAGCAATGCTAACCGTTAACCGTTAACCGTTGGCTGTTAACCGTTTTGACGAATGCTTGACCAAAGCAGCACGTAAGGAAACTAGGTTGTAAGCTGATTTGCTTTAGATCAGCTCGAATTGAAGTACAGCTGTGCTTAATCGAAAAGTGAGTAGTGTTGCTAAATGCCACAAAAATCTATGGTGTGTGTGGCTGTGTGTGTCTGTGTGTGTGTTGTGCCTGGTGAAAAAGCGTGCACACAATGTGTATGTACAGTGGCGTGAGAGAGAGAGAGAGAGAGAGAGAGAGGGAGAGAGAGAGAGATGGGCGGGGGTGGAACACACAATAACACACGACGCATATCGAGATTGTGAAAGGCTGACTGGCCCTAAAACCTAATCCGATTGATTTGTCACGCAACGTTAACAGCCTCACTTTTGTATGTGCCAGCCAGGTCAACTGGCTGGCCGGCTGGCTAACTGGCTGGCTAACTGGCTTGCTAACATCATTTGATTGACACACAGTAAGCTTTTATCTGTTGACCTCGCACAATTTAGCCTCTCCACTTTCTCTCCTTTTTTTTTTTGGTATATCTTTTGGCACAGCCTTTAATTGATTAAGCCTATCAAATGTTCAACGGCATCAAATGTTTGCCACTGCTTGTTACAATAATTTTTTCGATGTCTTGTTTCATTTGTTGGACGTCATTTCGATATATATTTTTTTTTTGTTTTGTTTTTATACAGTCCGAGTCGAATTTATTGTAAATTTTTTTTCATTTTCTTTTTTTTTTTTGGGTTGAACAAAAATGCAATGCGAAAATGTTTGTTTGAGTTGAAATACTTACGTGCACTCATAGACATTCCAGAGATCCACACACTCGAAGGGATCGGGGCAGATGACATTCGAGCAGGGCTTGTTCGAGGGGCAACCCTTCTCCAAATTGCGCGCCATTGTCGCCTGGCCCCATTGTGTGCCATTCATCGCCGGTGGCAACGGCAGATGTTTGCCCTCCAGACTGCAAAACGAGAAAAAGCGGAAAGAAGCACAACAAATTAAGACGATTATTTCAGAGAGCGCAAAGGAAGTGCAACGAAAAAAGAAGAGGAAAAACTTTATAAATGCTCAAATTGAATTCAGCATAAGTTGAAAAGTTGCGACTGGCAACAACTGTGCAACTGTGCAGAAGTATCTTTTGTGACTTTATGCTCTTAAACGAAAACTGTTATTCAATTAAGTATACGCACCGTATATCGTCGAGACAGCTCTTCTGATAATCCGCATAGACTTCAAAGGTGCGCACACCGGTATATTCAGCCTTGCCGCCCGCATAGACACCCTCCTGCTTATCGACCAGCAGCCACTGATGTCCGGCAAATTCGAATGTTTCATTATAGCGCCTGCCCTCGCCGCCATCCAGTTCCAAGGTGGCTGCGGAACCATAGCGATTAATGCGCACCACATGCCACTGACCGTCGTTGACGGCAACCGAATTGAGCCACAAGTCCTTCTCCTCGGTGCGCAGTGAATTGAGATTGTAGCGGAAGTGCAATCGTGCCTCTTTAATCTCCAGTATGCCATATTCCCGATTATGCTGATCACTCACACGAAACAGTTCCCCATGCTCCTCCCGGGTGCGGAACCGCAACTGAACCTGTGTACTAAAGCGATCCGGTTCGAAACTCAACGCATATTTGACATAACTCTGTGCCTTGAAGGTGGTCGGCACGGTGGGTATATTGCAAGCGGGACCCGTCCAACCTGGTCGACAATGACAACGTGCCTCCGACAACGAACCCACACAATTGCCATGCTCCCAACAGCGTGCTGTGGTCTCCGTCTGAGCACAAACCTCCTCCGTCTGGGGACAGCCAGCGACACTGTTCCTGCTCAGTCCCGGATGCGCCAGATCGTAGAGCTTGGAGTTGTGCACCAGATTCCGGATGCAGCCATCGAAACCCTTTGCCGTGGGCATATAGTGCCAGAAGTAGAGCGATTGCTCAAACTGTTCCCGATACAAACCGCCCACTTGCAGTGGGGCATTCACATTCAGATACTCGCTGAAGGGCGGAATTGCACCACGGGCCTGACACGAGGTATCATCGAATTCGGGTGGGGTGCCATCCTCCATTTCACTGATATCAGCCGATTTACAGAAATCCACGACCATGCGCACATCCTCCGTATCCCAGAACAAGTCGATGCGATGCCATTCGCCATCATCCAAGGTTTTCTTCGTCTTCACACGCAACTCGAGCGTGCCAGAGCCAAAGTCGATGAGCAATCGTGGATAGCCACGCTCCAGTTCCAGGGCGACAAAGTCCGAGATGAGCATCTCATCCCGTTCGGGCGGCACAATCGGTCCATTATAGATGATCAGACCATCCGGTTTGCGTGTAATAAACTCCAGACTCAAATGGGATTCGTCGCACATCTCCAAGGGTGGATACCAGGCCCATCCATTGCCACGGAAACTGCGCGTCGTCTGCTGACAGCGCGGACCCGTATACCCGGCCGGACACGAGCAGTGGGGTCCGAAGCGTGTGTCCACACAGCGACCACCATTGTGACAGGGAGTGGTGCGACACGATTCGGGCTTGGTGAAGTTCCTCGCACCACACGTACAATCGGCAATCGTGTCCACTCGCACACCGACCAGCGCCGTCTTGTTCGCATTCACCATGTACGGGAGCGAACTGATTTCGAGTGCGTTGGTGCAGCTGCCTTCGCACATCTGATTCTCGTAGAGGCACTCATCGATGCCGACCATGGTGATGTTGATGCCCACATCCTTTTCGATCTCCTCGCGATGCATCAGCACAATTCCGTTGAGCCGCACCGGCTTGTAATACGGCGAACCGTGTGCCGAGAATCGCACATCGGTCAATGGTGGATTGCGACGCTTCAGTTGCACACTAAATATGTCCACATTCTCACGCTCCGTGTTGAGTAAGTCGGCCAACTTATCCCGGAAACGATCCATCTTGGAGCGACTCAAACTCTGGGTGCGATAGTTCCAAATGCGTATAAAGTCCTCATCGGAGATGCCCGACAAGCGCACCGATCCCGAATTGATGACAGCCTCGTGGGGTATTTCCCGAACTATGACGGTTACATTTGCTGGCACATCGGTCTGGGTGTGTTTGCGATCGTAGACCTTGAATCGGAGATGATAGCGACCCTCTCGAGTGCCCGCTCGCATTGTGACCATGCCGGAGTCTTCGTCCAGCTTGAAGCGCGGATGCTCCTGTGCCTCCCAGTAGAACTTCTTGTCGGGCAAATCCCAATCGTCCAAATCATAGACATAGACGCGTCCAACTGGCGTATCTGGCGATTGTCCCTGATAGTTGTACACGGTAATTTCCTTGGAGCCGGGCTGCATTTTGTTATCGTTCACATCGCCAATGATCACCGTCAATGTGCTGGTGCCTGTCATCGCCGGTGAGCCGTGATCCTTGATCACAATCGGTATCATGTACTCCTTCTGCTGCTCCCGATCGAAGGAGCGCAACGATGAGATCACAGCCATGCCATCACCATTGGCGCCCTCTGAAAATGCAAAGGGGGTAAATAGAAAGAAAAAATAGAAAACATTTTAGAAATGTTTTAAGATATGTTTTCTATTCTCTACTTTAATTGGAACTCAATTAATTTATAATCATCCTTTCGCTTGTATCTGATTCTAAAATGTGTGCTTAGTTAAAGAGAGATAATTATTCCATTTCCTTTTGTTAAATATGTACACATCTAACCCATTTATTTGCTTGGTTGTGTTCCTGACACCAAAACTTAATTAACCCATTTGTACGAATTAGTGTTTCATAGTTTCACTTGAACATTTCGAAAATAATTTGTATAAAACACAAAACACAAAACTCAAATTCTGTTTGCAACTCGTTGGTTGGATAATTGTGGATACTTCATGATGATGACAGTTGCAGCTTTGCAGCTAAGCTTTTAAAAGCATTTTCTAGTTTAATTGTGCAATGGAGAGCACACAGCGACGGCAGGAAGGAAGGAAGGAAACAAGAATATCATTGTCCCAGTTATTCCACTTACAGTCCTCAAAACCTCAAAAAGTAAGCACCTTTATTAGCACCCATGTTTCCGTTTCCGGCTGATTGCAGCCAGGAGAAGCAAACCAGCAAAGCAAACTCTCCACATTTGCCTGCCATTTGTTGCAATTACGCCTTTGAGCCAACAATTGTTGCTTTCCACTCTCTCTCTCTCTCTCTTTCTTTATCTCACTCTCTCTCTCTCTCTCACTACTAATCCAACATCGCACAACTCCTATTCCCCCTCGTCATTTACTTTTTCTATTCGCATATTTGCTTGTAGTATTTGCAACTGGCATTCTGAAGGGGCCCAAAACGCGCATTTCAAATGTATTTTTAAAGACACTCCATGGTGTGTTTTTAGGCAAATTGTATGCAAATATGTTCACCAGACAAGGCCAAAACACACACACACACACACATACATCTGTATACGTGTCAGTGTTGGCAATTTGGCTAATTTTGCAAGTGTAAAAAAACATTTTTCCTTCTTTGAAGTCTGCTAAAGAAAACTTTATGTGAAGCGTACGATAAGCATGACTAGAAGTCTGCTACGGATATCATCACTAATATGCTATATAGTATATAGTATATAGTATATATACAGCTGACATTTATGTTGCTGTTCATATACTTTATTTTAATTTATACAAAAAAACTGTTTCCTTTTTGGTTTAATTGGAAAACAAACCAATTTCTTATTTCAGTTAATTGGAAAACAGACCAATTTTTTATTTCAGTTAATTAAAAATTAACCCATTTTCATCTGTAGTTCAATTTCAAGTCAGTTTTCAGCTTGTTCTTAAAATAGTTTTCCCTCTAAAACTAGCTGTTTTTTCGGCCAACACTTTGTATAAGCATTGGACAAAAGTCAAGCCACTGGTGCAAAGTTTTTCGACTCCCCTTTGGCGCATCAAAATTGGATTGCCACCCACACTATGAAACACACTCTCACACACACACACACCATATACCAGCAAACACACATACACACACACACACACACACACACACACACAACCAATCAGACACACTCACAAAGCCTACACAAATTGTGACTCCAAAGACTTTTTTCTTGCACTCTCCGTGGGGGCCAAAGAAGCAAACTGGGCTTATACGCAAATGCTGTTGACTTGGCCCAAACGGAAGAGTGTGTGAGATAGAGAGAGTGAGAGAGAGAGAGGGGGAAAGCGAAGGAGAAACTCAACATTTTGGGTAATTTAATTGAAAACTTGTGCATTTTAGTCACTTTATTTTTTCACTCGACCAGTGCAGGCTGTGCGTGTGTGTGTGTATAGGTGTGTGTATGGGTGTGTGTATAGGTGTGTGTATGGGTGTGTGTATAGGTGTGTATATCTCGGCTTTGGCTTATTTAATTTAGATTTTCATGTTGTTTGCACTGGTGCTGCTGCGGTTGACTATTTCCGGTGTTATGGCCCCATGTTTCGTGCTATTCATTTTCGTTATTCTCGAGGTAATTGCATTTTTATGTTTTGGCTTTATTCCCACAGAGACACATATCCGCACACACACCACACACCACACACACCACACACAACACACACACACACAGCACACACATTTATGCATAGAAAGTGTGACAACCGAAAGAATTCGCACAATTCGAATTTGTATTCGATGCGTGTTTGCTATCGAATTTCGAAGTATCTATTCAAACAATGCAATTTTATTATTCGCTGACTTTATACATACGCCATATAAACTAACTGGTTTCTACTCCAAATACTGCAGGATGTGTTGCTTGCATACGCATTTTTTAAACTTTGACCCAAATATTTCGCAAACGATTCTTTTTTTCTATTTTTTTTTTTTTTGTGTTTCGTTCTGGTTCCAATGCAATTTGCAAACTTGGGTCAAATCGCCTGAGACCATCGTTTCAGATACTGTATGTGCCGCAATTTGTTGAGCAACTGTGGCAAATGGCTAAGCAAATGGTTCAAATGCTTTAAATATATTCGCATGTGAGAAAACCAAATATATTTCTTAAAATATACATTTTAGTTGAGTTGCGGTCAACAGTTTTGAGTTCAGCAACGAAATGGACAAAAGTGGTTAAAGACGTCAAAATGAATGAACGAAATTGCTTTTATAAATTGGTCAAATGTCATCATGGCTTGACTCGAAAATCTTGTTAAAATTGTACCCTCAAAAAGTGCTTTTAATAATAGGTCATCACTTTCCACAGCTGTTAGTTGGTCAAAAGTAAATCAATTGTTTTTATTATGGCTTGACGTCTAGATTAACTCTGAATTGAATGAAGCTTGGAGCGTAATTCCGAGTCGAAAATCATATACATTTTACAATTTCAAACAGTGTTTCTATGAACGGAAAGTATTCTGTCAAAATTTCTCTGATATTCAAAAATCTCCAGATTTAAACTGCTTCTAAATTTTGAAACTAGATTTTAGCTCGAGATTCATGTACAAATGGTGCCCCAGAAAGTGTCTGGCAAGGATTGGCCTAAGCTTTCTTCAAAATGAACAGATTTCCAGACAACAGTGTAGTTAATCATAGTTTGAGCTGCTCATTAATATTACATATTGAAAACCTTGTCAAACCATCATTTTTATAGTAAAAGAAATAATCTTCAATAGTTAAAATTCCATTTTGTGTACTCACTTTGATCCTGTTCGACCTTGAAGGAGGCGCGTATAATATCATCGGCACTGGGATCCAAACGGAACTGGAAGGGTGGTCCATTGCTCTTGGAGCGATCATCATCGTCTGTGGCGAGAATTTCGACGACTTTCCTTGGTGGCACATGTTCGGGCAACACTGGTCTGTAGTCCTTCAAGAACTTGGGTGCATTATCATTAATATCCTGGACGATAACCGTTAGGGTTGCCGTCGCCGTCTTTGGTGGAGAGCCATCATCGATGGCCAAAATCTTGACTTGATGGCGGGGCACCACTTCACGATCGAGGGAGCGTTGAATGGTCACGGAACCATTCTGATTGATGGCAAACTGTCGCTGACGATCCGAGGAGCGATCTATCGAGTAGCTGACCTTGCTCTTGCCGCCCTGATCTGGATCGGTGGCCTTGAACTTCTCCAATTCGGTGCCCACTTTGGTGTCCTCAAATACAGAGACCTCAACGTTGGCGCGCTCAAAGTGCGGCTTGTTATCGTTGATATCGCGCAGCTTGACGACGACCCACGAGTAGGCCACATGATACTTATCGTTATCGTTGTCCTCGCCCTTATCGTTCACTTGGATGCGGAAGCGGAAACCGTTGCTCTGCAACTGATCCTCATAGTCCAGGGGTTGCACAATCTTGAGCGAACCAGTGCCATCATTGTTGCGCACCATGGTAAACTTATCGGCGCCATAGCCGCTGTTATCGATAACTTTGTACTGGAACTTATTCGTCTCGTCCTCGTCGTGGACGGTCACAGTGAGTATGGGCATTTCGGGCAGGGCGGTGCCATCCGTTTCGTCCACCTCGGTGAACCATTCGTCCTTGGTGAACTGCGGCGGCATGTCATTAATATCCTTGACACGTATAGACGCCGTGCCCGTGCCCTTTAACCCCCCGCCATCCATGGCAACCACCTGTATCGAATAATCCGGCGTACGTTCCCGATCCAAACAACAAACCGCCGTCTTAATCACACCCGTATCCGGTTCAATTTCGAATATTGGCGAACCCGTCTCCTCCTCAATCACATTCTTCTCAATTGAGTAGACGAGTCGTGCATTTGAACCCTCATTGGGATCATCGTAGTCCACAGCAGTCATGGTCATTACCACCATGCCGGCGGTGCCATTCTCTGTCACATTGCCAAAGTAGACGCCTTGCGGGAAAATGGGCGCATTATCGTTGATATCCTTCAGATTGACCTGCACATCCGCATAGCCGACAAGACCCTCGCCTCCCTCATCCTGGGCGAATACAGTGAAGCGCCACTGTGGTCGTCCATTCGGTTGATCGCGATCCAGCGGCTGTAAAGGGGACAGCAAATGGAAAGCAGTGAGTTAGACAGTGAATGGAAAAGGCCAAGCTTTGACTGGGTTTTAATAGTTGGAGAAACCATGTAAATAATTCAATTAAATATAGTTGTTAAGACAGTTAAATTATTCAAGCTGGTACTCTAATTATATCATCCCAAATTATGATTAGACACTTAATATATTTTTCAAAATATTTCCAATAAGTAAAAAATTGATTTATTTTTTATTTGACATATGCTTCTGCGCTCATTAAAAAATTGGGCAACTCGAGAGCTGTGCCAATGTGTGTGTGTGTTGTGTGTGTTGTGGCTATTGTGTAATTTTGGCTGTCATAACCACAAAACCGATTAACATCAGTGAAAACATTGCCTGCCTGCCCCGCAAGTCACTGCCACTGCCTCTCCAGTCACATGGCTTGCAATCCAATGAAAACACACAAGTGCAACTCAACGAAACTCTAGAGTGAAATCACCATATCGGTGTGTATCTGTGTATGTTGGTGTGTGTGTAAAATTATCCATTCACAATGCCAGCCAGCCAGCCCGCCCAGCTGAGCTGAGCAGAGCAGAGCTCTGTGGGTCGCCAGTGGCAGGCGAGGTCCCCGGTGCTGATTTTGACTTTGATATGCATACAGAACGAGAAGCAGAGAACCAAAAGCTTGAGTGATGTGATGTAAAGCTCGAAACAAACCCGACAAACCATTACCCAACCAACCCCAGCCCTTAACTTCAGCATTCACCTGGGGAGACCACCTTTATAATAACAAGCACTGGCAAAAGGAAAAAAAAATACCGATTTTAATCAGCACTTTGTATCTGCTCTGCTGTTGTTACGCATCCTGGATACGGACAACCCACATGCGACATGCCCACTAAAAAAAACCCCAACGCATCCCAACCCTTAACCAGACAATCCCAGAACCCCCGCCAAACCCTCTTTCTGACTTGACAGCCCCGCACAGCGCATAACGTAACAAATACAACAATAGCGGAAGGACAGAAGGACAGAACATGCAGGCTGAGCCAGAAACAGAGAGACAGAAACAGCTTTTCCAACGCGCTGACATTGGATTAGTCGTGAAAAATGAAATGGGAGGAAAATCTACAAAAAAAAAAAAAAAACAATAACAGATTGTAAAAATATTCGCATGCGTCGTCATCGCTTTAATTTGCATGACAAATTTGACAGCAATGCTATAACATATTCAATTTAAGGGATTAGTTCAGTTACGAAAGTGTGTGTGAGTCTGTGTGTGTGTGTGTGTGTGTGTGTGAATAGTATTTGTTTGTATTCCTTTGGCGCTATTTTATTTTTTTTTCTTCCATTTTGTGCTGCATATTCAACATTCTCCTCTTTCTCTCTCGTCATTATTATTTTAACCACAAAAGTTTTTTTGTGCTTTTAACTGTGTATTTTTGATACAATTTACTTTTCCTAATGGTCGAAAACCGACAACAAAAAATATATATATACAGATATAATCATGTTTTTGCTGGCTTAGCATTGGCTGCTTTTGTGGCGCTTATGGGAATTTCATTTGAGCTCCCATGGCTCTATGATTTTACACAAGTTTTAAGCTGAGCGTTGCCAATTATTTTTAAAAACAATTTAAAAAACAATTGAAAATTTATTAAATGTAAATTGCCAATTTATTAGCAGAGCTCTTAACATAGCGCTAACATTGTTATGTTAAGCGACCACAGCTGTTAAAGCAGCTGTAAAGATTTCGAGATTTGCTTTTTTGAATGCTGTTTAGCAATTGTTTGAAGCAGCAAACACTTTTCATGAATTGCACCTCAAAAACACTACCTTTTTAATGACACACACTTGCTCAAGACCACCGCTTGGCAGTCGCTCATTATTACGTTTAAAACTCACTTGAGTTAATTGACTTGCGCAAAACTTTATTAATTATTACAGCACTTGAGACACTTCAAGCACGACGCAACCAATTAAAAAAAGAAAACAGAAAGTAAAGAAAGCAAAAACTTCATAAATCAATGCATTGACCATTTTCGCATTGAGTCAAAGTGATTGCAAAAAACATAAAAAAACATAATAAAAATAAAATAAATAAATAAAACTGTTCACCGACCAAACTTAAATGTTAAATAATGAGTTTCGCACTTTGAGTTGGGTTGGATTTGCGGTTGGCATTAAGTAGGAGCTGCCCTGGCTGCTGCTGTTGTTGCTGCCACTGCTGCAGCTGCCTCGGGGTATTAAGTATGCATTGATGGATCTTTAATCAGTGAGCATATTTCGCAATCATTTTCATTTGCCGCTGGCCACAGCATCAGCTGTATGAAAATGTGACGGCAGTCGAATTTATTTTTTAAGCAGGTCTTAATTGTCCAATACCCCGTGTTGCAATTTTAAGTTGGGAATATCTTTTAAATAACTGGCTACCAACTTGCACCCAAAAATCAGCCTCATTAAGGCATTTTACAGCTGTTTACAGGGTGTCTTTTAGTCGCCCACACTCGGCATTAACATGGTCACTTGCTTTTTATAATTTTTATATTTATTTATTTTTCCGTCACACATGCTTGTGGTTTTGGTGACAGTTTGTTGTTAACGCTTAAATTGCAGTTTATTGTGTTGATTTAAATTTTATGTATTTTGTAACTTATTTTCATATCCTGCTTTTGTTTTACTTACCTTTAGCACAAATATTTCGCCTGTTGTGCGATTAATGTCGAATTTGCTATTGGCTGGATTATCGGGATCGATGCCTTGACCAGTTAGGAAATAAACAATATTCTGTGGACGGTCCTTGTCGCCATCGGTGGCTGTCACCTGTTTTCCATCCAATCCAATCCATTGCAGTGCAGTGCGAGCAGAAATGTATAAAAATATATATTCGATATTAGTTTTGTTGCTTTATTTATGAGAAATCAAAACTATAAAATACTGGCAGATTGGAGTGCATGCAATAAATAAAAAATATATATATGCAGGGGCTAAGCTCTTAAGTCGCTGCACAGCTTGTTGGAATATTTTCAAAATATTTTACTTTGTTAGTTTGGATTTTGTGATTTGAACAAATATTAAATGCCAACACTTTGGTTATTGATTTTATTGGGGATGGGCTTAAATACAATTCACAGTGCATTTATGTATTTACTCTAATTAAATTAGTTACTAGTAAATGTTAGTTAACCACAAGCAGATAGAAACCACTGAAAACTGAAACTGCGAAATCGTGCAAAAGATTTAAGCATACAAATTTGCCGCATTAAATATTAAATAACACTTTGAATTTAATTAGCAACACAGTGTGTGTGTAATTAAATTGTCAAAGTGCTCAAAATATTTATGCATGCAATTACATTCGTAACCACAGCCAAACTACAAAGGCACAATGCGAATTATGCAAATAAAGCTTTCACATTAATGAAAATCATATTTAACTCTTGTTTTTTGATTAAAATTAATTATGAAATAAAACAGAAAATTATGAAAATGTGCTTGGCGATTTGAGAGGCTTTAACGCTTCTCGTAAGAAGTACAAACATTAATGGTTAAAAATAATTGAATTGGATATTGACCTTAATAACAATCATATTTGTCAATGAGATTTTCTCTCATTTTTCATTTCGTTTCGTTTCAATGAAATTTAATTTGTACACCTTACACCAAATGGGAATATTCATTATATTAACTATATATATACATAAGTACTATATCAGAGTGTGTTATTGCTTATATTTTTTTACACATAATTTACATGAGAGCGAAATACCGATTACGATGAGGTTTTGTTCTTTGTCATGTTAAATTAATTGTTATATGAGCACTGCCAGCTATTGTTATGCACACACTTGTGTGTTATATATGTACATACGATATGTAGAATAGGTCAAATGATATATATATATGTGTATAGCGACCTGCATTATGGTGAAGGGCGTCGACATTTCCTCGTTGAGGCTGCGCTCGTACAATGTTTGGGGAAACACTGGCGGCAAATCGTTGACATCTCGCACACTAATCACAATTGTTGTTTGATTCTCGTTTAAACTGTCCGAGGCGACCAATTTCAACTCGTACTATCTCGTTCAACCACAAATCGTGACAATAAATAAAGCCAGTAAAAAAATACAACCAAAAGAAAAACAAGAAAAAAAAGCAAACATAACAAATGTAAATAAGAAATAATACATAAATTATAAATAAAATTAAAATATTGTTTGCCATAAAGCACAAGTTGAACTTGAATGTACAAATGTCCTTCGCAGATGGTTTTTACACATGTTTGTATTCATTTTGTGCCCATTTATTAACTGTGTATTTTAATTACCGACAGCAGTTGATTCACAATTCCAATTTTTATTGACCTATTCAATTATTCTCTGGTTTTTAGTACACAATTTATAATTGGATGCACGTCCTTCTTGACTTATCAATATAAATACATATGATTTTCATTGTTCGTGACTGTATTTTTAAATTGACTATTAGTTCATTTGTTGCCGGTTTATTATAGTGTATTTATATTTGTTTATTGCCATATTATTGCTTTATAACTTTAATATACTTTTACAATTTAAATCCTCAAGCAAATAACTTTAGATATTGAAAACCAATAATAATTTAGACGACAAAATTATACGTGTAGAAAACAAAAATGAAGTATTTAAGCCTTAAGCTAATATGAATAATATAAATAAATATTTGCTTTGTTTCAACGAAATTGAAATGGCTTTAATCAAAAAAATTTGCTTATTGATCTTTTGTTTTATTTATGATAAAAAGCAGTTGACTATTTTATTGCTAACTAATTAAATACGTAATAAATTATAATTTCTTTCGTTTTCTGATGTGCAATTCAAACTCGAGCAAAACTTGAATGGACATGCAATACAAAGCTAAGAAAAGGACAATTTATGGATGGTATTTATTGGAGGGGCAACGTGGCGTATGCTTCATATACACATATGCAAAAAAGAAATAGCAAAACGATAAGAAAAAAACACTACTCGAGTAAGGGTAAAAATCAAAATCAAGACAATGATGACATTGAAGATTGTGAATTGTTGTTGACCTGCAAAACTCGCTTGGGCAAATTGCGATCATCCTCTTCGGTGATTTGGGTGCGATAAGTGGGTCGCTCAAACACGGGCGGATTATCATTGACATCCTTGACATGGATGATGACTGTCGTATAGTTCTCCTTCAGATTATCGGAGGCGGCCAAACGCAGCTCATACTGAACGAACAAATTATTTGTTTGATTGTTTAATTAAATGTCATGCACAAAACTATTGATTGCAATTTGGTATGCATTTCATGTATTTCGCATTCAATTCGATTCAATTAAAATCAACTTCAATACAAGCCAATTGTTCAAAATGAATTTCAATTAATGTTTCGCGGCACTTTCTTCTATTAGACTTTGTGCTGATTTCTTCCTTCACATTTTGTTCGCAGACCGTGTGGCTAAACTGGTTTGAACTGTTAAATATTTAACTAGCCTCGCGGCCAGCAGCTGAACCAGCACCTAATCAAATTCAGTGGCAAAAAGCACTTGCATTCGACTTTCTTAATGAATTTTATAGTCACATCTCGCTTGCAGATTCAATTGCTGAACTGATTGCACAAGCTCTTTCTCGCATTTGTTCGACTGCTTAATGTAAAACAGTTTGACAAGGATTCTTCACACTTGACTGCATATTAAACATAAATATGGATAGGATATATGCGACCACAAACAGTTGTGAAATCTCTCTAAATATGGCTGGGAATTAAATGAAAAATAGTGGACAAAATAATATTGCTTACCCTGCGTCGCGTTTCATAATCCAAAGCGCCGGCCACATAAATGGCACCCGTCATATTTTTAACCGCAAAAGCGCCGCCAATGTTGCCGCTGGTGATTTCATAGCGAATACGTGAGGCTAAAAAATAATTGTTAGCAATATGGCATATTATATAAATATTCGACAGTACGCCAAAGGAAAGAGTCATGCAAATATGCGTATTTGTTTACTTACACTCATCGTGATCCTTGGCTGTCACAGTGAGCACTGTGTGCTGAATGTCCTCGTTCTCATCCACTTCCGCCTCGTACAGCGATTTGTCGAAATAGGGCGGATTATCGTTCTTATCGGCGATGCCAATGCGTATGAATTTGGTGACTAAAGCGACAAAAATACAAACATTGATAATTCACTTACATTTTCGTTTCATTTTCAACATTACAGGCTTGGTACTTTTTTCTATTTCTTTCTTTTTTTATAAGTATGTAATTATCACGTACTAGACGGAGGAAAAAGATATGTATATATATATACATGGCACATTCAACAGCGGGCTCAAAAAGTTATCAGACAACAACAAGAATGTGACGCCGACAAACATTTGGATTTTTCCTTCTTTTTTATATTTTTATTTGAGACTTTTTCTGGCAAGCATTTAAATGCGTTTTGCATATTAAATATTTTAAAGCAGTCCTCGTGTCTTTCACTTGTTTACAACTCTAACGAAAAAAGGAATTCCCTTTGACTATGCGATGATGTAATTTATGTGATCTTGATGACAATTGCTGTGTATTAAAGTTTGCAAACTGGTGACAAATAGAAAGTAAACAAAGGAGGCGACTAAAGACTTAAGTTTTAAATAGAACTAAGCGTGTAAGGTTCAAGCTTAATAATTTTTCAAATGAAATGCATTTCCAGTTAAAATGTTCTCTAGCCAAATTCTAAGAAAGGCAAATTCTATAATATTTAATAAACAATTATAGTATTCTCGAAATAAATATTTGGAATGCTTATACAGTCTCTAAATTTAATATATTTATATTTCCAATTATATTAAATATTTCTCTCAATGTGCAACTCAACTCAACTCTCAGCATTAGTTGAGGCATGAATAATTTAATAAGCAACTAAACAAAGTCAAGTAAGACATTCCATTTGTGGGTCAGACAAGTGGTGAGAGGAGAGGGGAAATCGAACACGGTCAACTGCCATCTAAATTACATAAATCATTTATAATTGTTGCATTAACAGCAGCAGTAATAACAAAAGGATTGCTTTAATTAAATAAATTCAGCACTGCGACAAGACTTGACCAGGCAAATTCTCCAAACATTTCAGGATACATCTACATAAATATTATACACATTAGCCACAGGTGTGTGTGTGTGTGTGTGTGTGTGTGTGTGTGTGACAAGATGTCAAGTTATCAGTTTATACTCAAGCATACGACTCTGCCACAAGTTGTGTGTGTTATGTTTTCGGTGTGTATGTTTTGCATTCTAATTTGCATTTGGCTTTGACATTTAGTTTCTTATCCAGCCAGAATTATTCACATTTAGTTAGCAGCTTGACAATACTCACAACTGCATTTTGGCCCACCTGACGTATGCGTTATATGATAGGATATTATATTTTTCTCTCTCTCTCTCTCTCTCGCTCTCTCTGTGTTTCGCACTTTGCAAATATTTGAGCCCATTCGGAATGAAATTTATGGCAAGCCATTGCTATCTGCCAACTATGCTGAATTTTAGTGAAGCCATGTGACGACATTTTAATTAAAACTTGGCAATTAATGCATACATATTAAAAGACAGCCCAAGAAATAGAACAGACTAATGTGTATAATGTGGTTGCTAGATTTAAAAGTAAACAGAAACCAAGAATCGATATTTAGATTGAAAAATTCTTGAATATAGATACGTGATGATGTTTCCCCTACTTGAACAAATATTTTTCTTTTAAAAATCCATTTGCGGAGTCATAAATCTTGTGGGGTAATTTATCAAACACCTGACTGATTTTAAACGCCATTAACAATTAATTTGCTGGCATGGCTTTGGCAAAATGCGCTCATTCATAAATTATCCAAGCGTACGTGACAAAAATTTGTTTGTTGATATTCCATTAACATTACTGGCTGCTACATGAAGTTGATACAAATATATATATATATATATATTTGTATATATATTTAAACGTTCAAGTGGCGTATCCTTGCCGTATCCTTGCCGTATCCTGTCAATTGATTTAAATGACTTTGAAACTGTCGCTGGCACATAAACTAATTAAAACTGTTCGACGAGGGTCGCAAACATGTTGGAGACAGTTTCCAATTTGCTCAAACTATAAAGTGCTTAAACTTCAACTTCAGCTTCAACCTGCAAAACAAATTCAACGCTTGACTTTCCATTTTGATGGCCAATCATTTTCCTTTTTTATTTCACTAATTGCCGAACCGCAAGAGCGAGAATCTCTATATATATATGGATATTTTTGCAATGCACACACAATTCTTAATTGTTCAAGTTCGAGAGAGAAAAAGGAAAGCCTCAAAAGCCGCAAACATGACAATCACATACATGGCATGCACACAAAAATCAAAAACTAGTTTTTTATTGCAGCAAGGAAAAGACCGCAACACAACATTGTTGCCGCCTCGCATGTTGCATAAATTTCTGAACAGCTGTCGCACAGACAGAGCCGTGCAGAGAGAGAGAGAGAGAAAGAGGGGGGCAGGTGGCAGGGCTTGGCAATCATAAAAAATCAACGAGGCAGCCAAGCGACAAATGCATTTGCAAGCAGTTTTACGAGCAAACACAGCCACAAAACAGTAGCAAACGCTGCAAAAGGACACTTTCAAGAATTGCAATAAAACATTTGCAACAATTTAGATGCCAAGTTGGCCAAGTAAGCAGTTGTTGCAACACAGATACACGCACACACACACACACACTCACATAACATTTGATATCTACTATTTGGACATGCAGTTAGCTGACTTTATTATGGCCCGGCCACATTAAGCGCCATTAATGGCCAACACATTTCCGCTTCCTTTAGCCAGCAGCCTTTATATTCGTGTTGTGATTTCCTGAAACACAAAAACACACACAATGTGTAAAATGTTGAGATTCGGTCGTAAAATGCAACATCGCTTCGAGGCCAAGTTACCAATTAGTTCTTAAAGCTGCAGCCACAGAAGTTGCCAAAGTAAACCCATTCAAAATATATCTAAACATATTTATTTCTATAGGACAGATATTGATACCACAGCTTGTTGCTCTCCCGCTACTATTGAATATCATATTGAAGTTCAGTCGAGTGCAAAACTTGATGATAAACTTTGTCGAAAGCGAACCAACAAAATAAGTCGGCAAATTTCTGATTCCATAGTCGTTGCACACATGCTCTTTACATAAATATCAAAAGTAAATATTTGCATAGTACATGCAACATGATTACAGTGATGGATCGCCAGTTGAAAGTTGTCTCGAGTTGAATGATTTAGTAGTTCCAAGAAACAGCTGCTCTTCATCACTTTTTAATTTCGAATTTTTATAAATATGTTCCACATTTTTGCTCAACAATATTACATTTTAATTATAGATTCAAAATCTAAGATTTATTAGAGCATTAAAAATATTAAATATGGAAACGGTTAAAGCACATTTAAGCTGCAGAAACTAATATTTATTTAACATGCACAGTTTAATATTAACTTGCAAAATTTGGGTTTGAGCAACTTTAGAAGTGCTCAGACAAATGAGAGTATAACATGCGGCGTATAAATAATTGAGTAGCGCGCAAAAATTGTTACATAAAGCGTGCAAAAAATATGGCATCTGCGATTTTGACATATATTTATGTATACATATATATATATATATACCTGCGTGTGTGTATGTGTGAGTATATTGATATGCGTGCGTGCATACGCGAAAAAGTAGCGCATAAATATTGTGACTCATAGAAGGGAAGGAGAAGCGGTGTGTGTGGCATGTGCAGCAAAGCGTAGCAACTAAAGATGACAACTGGGCAAATGGAGCACTATTTATTTGGGCACACACACAATGGTAGGCATACACACAGAGAGAGAGAGAGAGAGAGAGTTACATAGAGACACAGCTGTGACACATTTTATGTAAGCTAAGTAAGTGATAAAGTTGACTTTGATTTTGCCACTCGCTCAGACCTGACTGCCACAACCACACTCACACACACACACACACATTACACATACTCACACTCACACACAGTCACATGCATTCATTTCTGACACTCCACTCGAAATTGCTTCAATGTCAATTTTTATGGCAATACAAAAGACTTTTGGCTCGCCCCCCATTGAGATGATGCTGCTGCTGTTGCTGCTACACTCAAGGGTTTCGTTTCGTTTTGCAGCACTGGCAGCAGCAAAGAATAAACAGTGCACACAACTCGCAAATCAGTAACAAAGCGCCCAGCTCAACTGGGGATTTCATTTATACCCCTCTCACCTACTTATTATAGCCAAGTGGATACGTTAAGCTGGCCACAGTCAGCAAATGTTAATATAAATATCACTTGCGCTATTCAAGACCATTAAGCAGTGGGATTTTTCTTTATATCAATAACATATATATAAAATATATATAGAGAGTATGTGCTAGTCGTGCATTAAAGCTTTTAACGTGTTTTTGCATCGCTTGCAACTATGTTAAAAACATAAACATAAAATATAATGGCATATACTATAATATTTATTTCGATTTAAAACCCAGAATCCTTTATAAATGCATAAATAGGGTATAATGAAGTTGTGCATATTTATGTAACAAGTATTTATTCTAGGTTGCATTAGCTACACTTGTGTACAGGATATCAGCTGGGCAAGCTCTCTTTTTTTAGAGATTCTTTTTTTTAATTATTTCGTCATAAAAACTAATAAAATTTGATTCGCTTTCATGTCAGAGAACTCAATTGCCTTTCGCGGCATGTGGTATGTGGCATGCGCCTACAAATAACATGCACCATGAAATTTTCACAGCTTAAATGTCAACTTTCGATAAATACGAAAACAACATTTTTGCTATTTTTGCCCTCAGAAAAATTGGTCATAAAAACAGCTTCATATTTACATTCTTCTATATGTGTGTTTGTGTGTGAGTGTGTGTGTCTGTGTGTTTTTGTGTGTGTGTAAATAAATTGAATTTTGATGTAATAAAGTCAGTAAAGGGAAAAATGCTGTAGGTCGATTTTAATGAAAAGTATTTGCGACAGCAGACGCAGAAAAATAACAACAAACAGAAACAGAGAGAAAATTTATTGCATTTTGTGTAAATAATAATGCATGGCATGACGCGTAATGCACAAAGGGCACATGAGGAGTGGAGGAGTGG